ATTGAACGCTCCCGGTGAATCGTAACATCAACAATAACAAAGCTCGTACCCTGTCTACAAAAACTATACGTTTCACGGGTGTGCCAGGGTGATCAATTTGCGAAACGTACACAACACTTATAGGGTACAAATATCAACTTCTATAAGAATTTTTCTTTCTCCAAAAACCTTGCATTTATAAAGATTAATAAATTGAAAATTGTTGCATGAAAAAAATTGAAGCTTCATTTTGAAGGATTTTAAATAAAATATTAATTTTTGAAGTTATCCTTCCAATCCTGGCTGAGAATCGGATATCCTTAAGTCCTTTAATTTCAAATTTCAAAATGGAAATAATTACTCAATTATGACCGTTTTTGTTAAAATGCCTAAAGTGCGAGTTTCATATGTTTTCGGATGTACCTTTCATTCATTTAAATCTCCATGTGTTTTCCATTTTTTTAAAAACAGAAAAAGCTTTCTAAAATGCCGTGTATGTACGTACGACAATGTGCAAGTGAAGTTGACATGGTCCACGCCGATGGTAGTAAAGGAGAGTTGTATTTTCTTCCTTTGTATTTGTTTATTTTATTGAAAACCATTAAAAATACCACCAGGGAGATGTACAATGCTTACTTGTATTCCTTGTAACCATTAAAAATTGTTAGATTTTCAAAAAATACCACTTAACCACAGGCACCTGACGTTATTTATTTTTCTTTTAATAAAAAAAATATACCCTTACCTTATAATAATTTAATTCTGGTTGTAACGCTGTATTTGATTGGATAAAAAAATTATTTTATATCGTATAAAATGGGTTGCCTACGTCACAATGACTTGCGTCAAAAACGTATCAATCCGCCTGACGTTACATTCAAAATTTGTACAAATCGACGAGGGATTTTTAATATTTGCAAGTGTGATGCGCCGTTCTGGCTGCAGTGTCCGTAAGTTTAGACCTCGAAAGACTGGCCACAGAAAGAATATGGTTGCAGGGAATTTATTTGACGGAGTTTCAGACGAAAATACAAGTGGATGTGACAGACATAGAAAAATCCAAGATGGCGCCGATGGGGACCTTGGTTTATTATAAGGTAAGGGTATATTTTTTTTATTAAAAGAAAAATAAGTAACGTCAGGTGCCTGTGCACTTAACCATCGTAGGGTTTAACCGGAAATTCACTGAAACCGGAACCGGAAGTACCTATGGTCAAGGCGTAAACACGTACTTCAAAAGGGCTACTGCATAAAAATTACTCAATATTGTGGAAGGAACCTATCTGCATGTGCAATTGCTCTGCACTCATCAAAAATTAATTGAAGTCTCCTTAATTATCCAAATTATTAGAAACAAACTGGAAGAGTGGGGAATGTTATGTTCTTTAAGCTTAATATTGTCGGGTACAAACAATTTCGGTAAGCTTCAATGTCATCCACATCTCAACCCTATAGAACATGAATGGGACATGATGGACCTGAGAGTGAGAGCTTTTCCAGCAGCAGAATCTAGCGGAACTATAGAGGGCCACCTAGTCCATACATGGAATAACCTTCAATAATAAAGATTTTTCTTTGTGTGTTTTTTTTAGAAGCAATGGAGGATAAAAGCAGTATTGAACGTTGCGATTTTTTAATTCTAAGGTGCCTTTTCTTTTCTGCATTTTGTGTTAAAGCCCTTCAATAAAATTAGATTAAGTGAAAAAAACATGTTTTGCTTCTTTTTATCCTGTATTGTTATCAATTTATATTGTCTAAATTAATTAATATAAAAGCAGTGTAAAGCAAAACATACCTGGGGACTTAGAAATTTTGATTAGTATATATTTGTGAAGGTTGTGATATTCAGATAGTATAGCTCAAATGTAGGACAATCTTACTAAGAAATATATTTGTATATGATTTCAAGCTTCTTTTCGGTTTAAAAAAAAAAATACACGACGATTGGCGAAAATATCGATTTCTGCTATAAAATATGATTTTTTCCTAAGACAATCGTTCAAGTTACAGCAGATAATTGTTGTAGAACTAGCTCTGTTTTAATCTACAACTAACAATGGCATATGGTTCATATGACTGGCAGAAAATAAAATTTATTTGAAATGTTATGTTACATAAAACACAGTACATTATTTAACGTATTAGTACTTTATACTAATAATAGACTAACAATTAGTATGAAAAACGTCAGTCAGCATTTGACTCAATGATGAATTGTGTTTGCTGACAAGGTCATAGTATCGACCATAGAACTTACGAAATTATAACTCTAATCGAGACTGCTGATATTCTTGTTTCATCAATTTGTTTGTCAATAATTTACCTCGACTCGTTTTAGAAATTATTCATACGCAGAACATGCTCTTCCTTATCATGCTTATTGAATCAACTGAGAGATATAAACTCCGTATGCAGGTGATGAAGGTATATTGTGGCATATTAATAAGTAAGGGAGGTCGACGATAGGTTAGTTAAAGTCATCACGTTTATCATAGACCTTGGTTGTTAGATTACCATTAACGTCATTTTCAAGTAAAATATCCAAGTATGAAAAAATGAGCCAGACTCTGTAGTATCTTTTATCTCAAGTTAAGCAGGATATATCGAATCATTTTATAAACCAAGTGGGTGTCGGAAAAATAATCTACAAACATCAATTTACTGTACCAGGATGAACTCGAACATAAGGAGATTTGTCTCAGAAATTAAAATTGAAATAAATAGGCAGCCGATCGCATTTTTACCCTGACTTAATTAAAGCGTATTTAATAAAGCCATTTTACTTAATGCTTCTGTCTCACTGAAAGAAAAACCTAGTGAATTTAACTAGTGTGTTTCGTAAAGCGTTGGTCTTGATTAGTAAACTTTCAGTTTACTGGTTAAGATAGTGAGTTGTGGAGCGGGGGTCGTATAGATACTTAGATACCTAGTGAAAGTTACTCATCAATTCTAAATTTACTAATCTTATCTAGTAAATATACCAATATCTGGTAAAACTACTATTAAGGTAGTGATTGTATGGACAGTGAATCTACTAGTTTTCTTCGTGACATTAACTAGTTATTTTTTACAGTGTGAAAGAGGGGCAGATTTTTCTGTTTGATTTCGTGAACTGGTTTTGCCATACTGCAAAAAGGGGATATGGTCACCCGACTTAAAATTTAACAAGAGGCCCATGGGCCTTATAGGTTACCTGAGCATTATGCAACAACTTTCCAGTGATTGAATTTGATCCATGTTTTAAGCCAGATGCTACAGCATTTACAATTTTAATCATCATAACTGTACACTTAGCAGTTGCTTAGTTTGGTTACTTAATACCCACAGGCAGGGTAGGGGAACAAAAAATGCATTTCAACAAATCAGTAATATTCAGCAATAATCAGCAGTGCCGCTACCACACATGAACCCTTGACTCTTAGGCCTAGATCCACACACTGCACAATTTTTGAAAAGGCATCCTTGCTTTTCAAAAGTATTTGATTAATACCAAGGAGCAGATTTCAAACAATTCATTATTTTTCAGCATATAAGTACAGCCACCCCCCTATGGTACTACTGAACCTGGGGCCTTGAAATTCACAATGCTGGAAGATTAGGGCCCTTGCTCATAACTATATAGGTAGTTCATATGCTTAATACCCAGGGGCAGAGAAGAAAATATTCAAAGATTAAATGTTTTTTCACTATATAATCAATAGAGCCCCGCCCTAACACCAGAACCCTTGACCCTGGGGCCATAAAATTCACAATTTTGGTAGAGGCATTCTTGTTCATCATAACTATGTACTTAGTTTATTTAATACTTTGCAGCAGTCAGAAAAAGATTTTAAAAGAATTCATGTATGTTCACTATATAATCTATAGAGCCCCGCCCCAACAACAGAACCCCTGACCCTGGGGCCATAAAATTCACAATTTTAGTAGAGGCACTCTTGCTCATCATATCTATGTACTTAGTAAGTTAATATAATACCCAGGAGCAGAGAAGAAGATTTTCAAAGAAATAATGCATTTTCACTATATAATCAATAGAGCCCTGCCCTAACACCAGAACCCCCGACCCTGGGGCCATAAAATTCACAATTTTGGTAGAAGCACTCTTGCTCATCATAACTATGTACTTAGTTAGTTTATTTAATACCCAGGAGCAGAGAAGAAGATTTTCAAAGAAATAATGCATTTTCACTATACTTATTTAGTCCCACCCTAGCACAAGAACCCCTGACCCCAGGGCCATGAATTTCACAATTTTGGTAGAGGGCTCAATGCTGATTACAATCATGCAAACAGTTTGACTGCGTTATGTCCAGGAGTAAAGAATAAGATTTTTAAAGATTGCATTAATTTAAGTGGTTTTGGCCCCACCCCCCAGGCCCCAGGGGGGCAGGGATCATGAAATTCACAATTTTTGTTCCCCTTTACCCATAGATGCTTTGTGCCAAATTTGGTTGAAATTGGTTAAGCAGTTGCAGAGAAAAAGCTGAAAATGTTCAAAAGTTTACGACCGATGAACGACGAACGACGTACGACAACGGACGAAAACAGATAGCAATAGGTCTCCTGAGTGACTCAGATGACCTAAAAATTGTTGTTACTGCTGCAATTGGAGACCTTACACAATATTGAAACTGAATTTGACTTTTCAAACCCATATCTGTGATCAGTTTCACAATTTTTCTTACAAAACAGCACACAATTGTGGATAAAATTTGCCTTATATTGTTATGTGATGACAAGCTCATATCACAATTTAATTGAAAGTGCTGTGTCTTTTTTTTTACTTTGTTTTATAATAAATATCTTAAATTGCTAAACTAATTTTGCCCAGTATATATATATATCTTTCTTATTTTCTCTGGTTCAAAATAGTGTAGCATACATGTACACCTGTATGTTTACGCTTCATTGCACATCCATGTGTATTTTGAATAAATATAAAGTTTTGAACTTCACAACCTGTTGTTACCTAATATGCACACCGAAAACTAGGACATTCAGGTAGGCAACACCTGACAAACATGGCTGCCAGTACCACCAATTGCAAAAAATTGTCATTGGGCTCTCCTCTAGCACCCATATTGATGTGTGAATCCCACAATTTACCCATTGATGTTATATGCGAGGATTGTGATGAATTTATTTGTGGTGAGTGTGCAAAATCAAATCATAGAGATCATAATTGGAAAACTCTAACCACAGCGGCCACTCAAAGGAAGAGAGGTCTGCTTAAATTTCTGAAGAAGATCAAGGAAAAAAATCTGCCAGGAATTGATGAGAAGTTGGAAAAGATGTCAAAACAGATGAAAGAAAATAAAAAACTGTGTGACTCCGAGATTGAAAAGCTTAAGATGCATGTTGATGAAATAATGGCAAGGCTTACAGAAATTAAAAAACTCCATGAAAAAACATTGAGAGACAATCTGGTTAAAAAGAATGATCAACTGAACCTTATGAAATCTGAGTTAGAGAAGAAGAAGAGAGGAATTGTTGACACAGTGGAATTCATGGAGGAGAACAACAGCACCATGTCAGATTACAGCTTGATTGACAACCTCAGAGAACTGACAAAAATGCTGTCTAAACTGGAGGTTAATAGGACAAACTGTGAACATTCAGTGAGATTTATTAGAGGTGAAATCAATGATGACTTACTTAAGTCTTTGATTGGAAAAACTACAGATTTAGATGATATTGGTGTGACTCAGATAAACTCCTTTCAATATGGAGATGAAGTAATACACATCTTGAAGGCTCTCAGTGAAGACCAATGTTACGTCAGTGAAAATAAATCTATTAAATATACAGAAAAAGTCAATCAGCAAGGGAAAAAAACACAACAATTTGGTATTTTACCTAATGACATGTGTGTGACAGGTAATGGTGATGTATATTTCACTGATTTTGATAACAATTCCATTAGCAGTCTGTCACCATCAGGATCTGTCTCTACAGTCATCAGTACACATCCACTGGTACCAGGAGGAATCTGTCAGTCAGTGGGCGGAGGACTATTGGTCACCTTGAGAGACAACGCACCAGATTTTTACAAATTAGAGTCACACAGCAGACGTCTGGTGAGGCACATCACAGTGAAAGGTGATTTCATCCATGATTATGAGTACCAGAAGGACGGTCACACCAGACTGTTTACATGGCCACTTTGTGTCACACAGAACAGTAACAGTGATATCTGTGTTGTGAACAGTACAAGTCGCACTTCAGGTGATCTAGTGATTCTGTCTCCCTCTGGTCAAGTAAAGTCTGTCTACCGTGGACAGAACCTGACAAAGAACTTTAATCCAACTGATGTAGTGTGTGACTCCCTCTGTAACATCCTTGTAACTGACTGTAAGAACAACCAGATCCATCAACTGAGTCCTGACGGGGAGTTCCTGAAGTTCTTACTGACAGAAAATGAAGATGATGGTCCATACTCAATGTCCCTATACAAGTCAACACTGTGGGTGGGATATTGGGAATGACTTGTCAAAGTGTTTCAGTACAAAATGTGAATAGAAAATACCTTACTTGAAATTAGAACAGTTATTTGAAATTAGGTCATCAAAATCATCAAACTACGAGGGTTGTCCGGAAAGTTCGTGGACAACATTGATAATTACTGACAAACATTGATAAAATATATGAAACTATTATTTTCATTAAATTTATGTTTCAATTTATTAACATGCAAGGTTTCAACAAAAACAGAGCACAAATATTTATATTCTTATCAGATTAAAAAAGACGCACACTCATACCCGGAGCACTAAAATGAAAATTCTTGATGTTACCCGATGTCAAAAGCATAATACAAATACATGTAACTTTTCTCAATACAGTCATAGTTTAACTCAATACATGTCGCTTTAACCAGTCATAATAATGTGCACAAAATGTTCAGGTTTCATATGTAAAATAATATTTAACAATCCCTGTCTCATATCCTGCAATCCTCCAGCCCCTGTCACATAAAAACGATTTTATTTACGGAAATACGTTAAAGTCACGTTACAAAGTTTATTTTTACAGCACTGCAATCTCGGAATGATGGTTTGCCTTCACGCATGTCATCATGTATACTGTTACTTCCGTCCGAAAATATTATATGCCACTTAGATACTAAATACTTAGATTCTTTTACTATGTTTTCCCGATTGTTTACAAAATGTTTTGGTCTCTGTAGTTAATTTAAATTCCCCTTCTCCCAAGGATGTTTTGTACCAAGTTTGGTTAAAACTGGCCCACTGGTTGATGAGAAGAAAATGAAAATGTGAAAAGTTTACAGATGGACATTCAGACGGACAGACATGCAGGAGCTAAACAGATGCCAGACAAAATGCAAACAGAAAAGCTCACTTGAGCCTTCGACTCAGGTGAGCTTAAAATATATTATAGGAACACAATCATTCAAATTTTTGATACAGGTCCATTATGTAAGTAATGTAAAGTTTGTAGTCCTAATTTCAATGAACTTCCATGGACAATGCAATATACCACATATAGTTCTTTCATATTTTTAGAGTAATGTTATTTAAGAGTCAAAATCAGCAAGCATCGAGCATTTAGTTAAAAAATGTGGAAAGTGGCATAGAAACAGATTTGGTTAAAACTCATATATAAATTTTCAGAACAAAGCGTATGATAGAAAAAGGCAATCAAAAAATAATATTTCGCATTGTTGCTATGGAAACCACGCGCCTTTCAAATAGCGGGTTTTGTACTTTATCATGACACTTGAAGTTATGGTTAAACAAATACTTTTTTATTACTAGTCATTAAAAAAAGCTTTTTAAATTATTATTTTATTTATATAGATATACTCTATTTTAACAAATGTTGATTATTGAAATTCTCTTCACCCTTTGATAAATAAAACTAGTTTTCGGAGGTTTATTTTGCTTTAAAAAACAGCAAATTTGAAGTACTCTATAAGAAATCTACAACCACATTAAAGCTTATCAACATAAAATATATATTAAATAGTATTTGTTCTAGAAGAATCAAGAAAAAAATCTGCAGGCAACTAAAGCATTTATATATGATAACTGATTTAAATCCATAATTTTCTGTAACTTTTGCTTCAAATTACCTCCCTTTGGTATAGCTCTCTAACATAGGAGGAATAAACGGTAGTTTGCTTACATTGTTCAGAAGTTCTGTGTACAGAAGACTAGCAGAAAATTTTAAACTTGGAGCAGTCTGAGCCTCAGTTTTGGCGTTTTCATGAGTCTTAATTACGGTGAGTGACTGAAATTTTTACAATTTACCATTACAACAGTTACTGAAGAATGTATAACATAAATTAACCATGTTGTAAAATATGTAACACTTTTGCAGGTGTTTTTGCACATTACAATTTAGGCCTAATTCTGATTGATTACTAGTATATATGTTAGCATTACTTTCGTTTTTTATAACTTAAAAGAAAAGATTATGCATGGCCTGAGGAACCAGGAGGAGGGGGTATGCCCCCCCCCCATAATATTGCCGATATTAAACTATAATATGATAAAATGAAATTAAATTCCCCAACTCAGATTGTTTCTGCGGGCCTAACGTGAAAAAGTTGGTCATGATTAGTTACATAACTGTATCCCAAATTTTAAAGTTTAATTCGAATTAAGTTTAATTTTGATTTGTTACATATTCACGGCATGTGTGTAACCAAGTCACTCACCAGCTATAATGATTATAACTTGAGTGATTGTCGGGTAAATAAAAATTCTGTATATAATAATAGATATCTTTATTTACCATTTAAGATATTGATAATACCTGCTTTTTACGTAAAAAATTATGAATTTATGAAAACCAACACTATATGAAATATTTGTAAATTGGAATGACCTTTGTTATAGCGTCCGTAAAAAAAAAAGGGGGGGGGGGCAGGGGGTTAACTCTGTACTTAATATATTTTAGTTTAGGAAAGGGGATTACCTTGGAAGTATTGTGATACAGACAAGTGTATTACGTAGTGGACTAGTGGTAACTGAATTTTATATATACCACAGTAGAATAATTAATTTAAAAAAAATTTTTGCTGATGTCATCCAGTGTTTACTTATAAAAGAAAATTCATATTCAGCTAATATTTTCTCCGGTACCACTGAACTAATTTAAGTCAACTTTAAGGTTCAAATAATAAGCACCTTCAGATTTAAAGCACGTAAATTTATTAGAAGAATATCTATACTCCATTTTTTCTTGGGGGGGTGGGGTATTGGAAAGAAATGAAAACCATAATCTAGAGTTTTGACAAAACCAAGAACCAATTGACCTTTTTATGACAAGTTTTTTGAATTTAAAGAATATCTAAAATCAATAGGGTCTCAACTTTGTGTTGTATACTTCTGTTTTTTGAATGAAATTCGGCACTTTGAAGCCAAACTCGGAAAGAAGCGGAAACAGAATTGGATGAGCTGATATAGAATGAGACAGGAAAAACATGTAAATAATACATTTAGTAAAAACGTTAACTTTTTAAAAATAAAATGATAAACCATTGAGATCTCTTGGAATTTAATTGATTCCAATAAACATGCTTTCCATTCATCGTCATTGCTCAAGCTCAACTAGAAATGGTTCTAAGTAAGTATCTGAAGGCAAAGCTGTATAATATTATAACATTTTAATTTTATTACTTTTTCAGGTTATCATTATAAGAATACGATATTACAGTACAGACCATTGATGTTGGAAGTGAGTGGATAGTGTTACCGGAGACTCAGGGATCCAGAAAATAGATCCATAAATTGTACAGTGTATTCATGAAAGTGGATCAAATAAAAATGTTCAATCCAAAAGTAAAATTCTTTGTTTGTCTGTTAGCATTTTTATATTGATGTAAATCTAACTAGTGCTAATTGTAACGGGGACCGTTACAGATGTTCCCCAAACGCTCCCCATGTCCCTTATCGTGCCTTATTCCTCTAAGACCTTTTATAAATATGCTAAGTATCCCAGGATTTCATTTAAGAATATAAAAGTTACAATGATATCAACTATCAACGATATATTGTTTAACGTTTTGCATGCGCGCACACGTACATGTACATGCATATGCAAGATGATTATGGCATGTTGATTAAGCGATTAATATATCTTTCTATCTCGCGAATCAAAGAAAAAAATACATATATAAATTTACCATTTTTCAAGCATATGTCATATTTTTAATATATCGATTCACATTTTATTTCTCTACTTATTTTAACCTCGGGCTCAAAGTTGGTTTTATTCCGAAGACAAGGCAGGGTTAAAGTCGACTAAGGGTATCACGCCAATACCTAACCAATCAAAATGAACTTATTCAATAGTAGTTCCATACATGGAAAAGGGATTTTCTTTTCTGTTCAGAATTTTTTAAATATTTCCTCTCAGGCCATTTTGACAACTCTGATACCTGTGCCTGGTAAATTTTATATACTTTGTAAATAAATATATAAAGGTTTTTTGACCGGAACTATTCATTTTTTCCAATGCATAGGGGGCTACTCTCTGGGTTTTACAAGAGATGTTTAAAAAGACATTCGTGTCAGCTAATGTGACCTATATTGTTTAACACCTTCTTATTAATATTTTTTTCATGAATGCAAATATCTGATTATTTTACGAAGGAGCGTACATGTATATTGATTTTTAATATACCGAAAATCGCTATTTCTGGGGGTTGCGTAATTCTAAAAAAAATTCAAATAAATTTCAAAGGTAAATTAAACAAAGGATGCTTGGTATTAAAATATTATTTCAAATCAGTAGAATTGAATGCTATTAACGACATCTGAATAAATAGGCTATAAAAGGCTTATATGCCAACTTTGGTCATCTGCACTTTAATTTTAAACACGACAGGATTTGTAATTTTTTCTGTATAAATTAATAATTTCTATATACTTTGGAAACTCAAATTAAATATTTTAATACACTTTCCTCGAGCTCTTTTCTGCAGTTTTCCTGAAATTTTATGTGGGTCCGAGGTGTTATTTGAGTTTAACAGTGATTCTCTACGTTGCCATTAATTTGATTTGTTTTGATTTGTTTGTGTGTGTGTGTGTGGGGGGGGGGGTATTTTTATTCTTAACCTATTTAACATTGGAGTTGAATCTTGTATCTTATTCCAAGAACTTAAGATTGATTGTGACATTTGGATGAAAGGTCAAGGTCATTAAAAACCACGATCTCTTTAACTTCTATCCTGTCAACCGAAATAAACTCTGAAAGGTGTTTCTAGATACATGTACATGTACTTCATGTTTCTTTTTACCCTTGGGTCAAGGACAAAGGTTAAGGTCGATTTCAAGTTCATAGGTCAAGGTGATTTTGGTAAATAGCTAATATCAACATTTTATTCAGGTTACCAGTGACCTTGACCTAAGTTTCAAGGTCAAGGGTAAAAAGATCTGCATGCTTCAGTATGTTACATGTCTTGACATTTAGAAGTTCTTAATTCTGCATGAACATCAAACACTCAAGTATACTGTCT